TTTAATCAATAGGGATGCACGCTTATACGCAATGTGACAATTTTTTTTTTTTAAATGTATACATTTTTTATTTTTTCTAATTAGTCATTTTTTTAATGTGGTTTTTGCTCTTTCTATCAGATGGGAACATTTGTTGCAGCGATGAGCCCTCTGTCTGTGTCGCTGTCGCTGATAGCTCCACACCAGACTTCTTGGTGAGTACAAGGTGTAGAACGGAATAATGGCCAGGGTGATAGGGAAAATAAGACATACTGCTCAATGAGTAATCTGCATGGCGGGGCTCTAACTTGGACTTCAAAATAATGGATTTTTTGTACAAAAAATCCAGATATATATATATATCATCGTTGCTCAAGTATATCATTTTTCTCTCAAATATACATATATATATGAGAGAAAAATGATAGAGAAAAGACATAATTGGCGTGCCTTATTTCATTATTGCAAGTTCTGCACCCAATCCTGTGACAACATCAATTTTGTTAAAATGTATTTAAAAAAAATGGACAGTTAATATCATCACAAATGTTACTCGGGGGGGGGGGGAGGGGGGCGGCACAGTTGGCAACTACGGGGGCTCTCAAGTTATAAAGTGATTAATTTAAACTTAAAGGTTTTTTTTTTTTGTTTTTGTTTTTTTATAAATAAATGTATGACATATTGCCATTATCCTTGTTACTGGTTCAAGCATCACTTTTTTCTTTTAAAAGATATTTAAAGAAATAACAATTAATATTAGATTCATGATCTGTTTAGTGAAGCCCACGACTTCCAGTAGTGTGTGGTTAATTTGGCTGTGAGTGAATTGATTATATAATTGTTATCAATTCGTAAAAGATTTTTGTTATGTCTTAGTTATAATGCCTATTCTATTACATCCACCACGCCAACCCCCCCCCCCACCCCGCAAAAAAACAAAACAAAACAGCCTCAATCTAGAAATATGAAAATAAGCATTAAAATATTCCCTCTGTATAAGAAAAAACTTTTTAATTGCTACTCCTCGAATGTACATATATATATATATATATATAGATATATATAGATAGAGAGAACAAAAGCACTCCACCGTCCCATTCGTTGCGTCCTTCCTACGCCATTGTTTGAGTGTTTGAATGATAAATATTAAACTCAACTTTTAAATAATTTTAAACCAAATATTAAATAACCAAATTTACATTATTTATTTTTTCAGGGTGTTGCCCAAGACTGGTTCACGGCTGGGTCTCCTCCATCTGACGGCTCTTTGGGTGATGTGATCAACGAAGTGGTCGTCTCTTCCACCACCACCAACAATGATGAGTTGAATGTGGACGCCGGTGGCCAGCAGGGAGCTGCAGACGCCAACCGTGCTGCTGGTGTGCCCAACGCCTACAACGCTTACAGGATCCATGTGGATAACAGCTTCATGGATGTTTGTCAGAGCAGTGACATTGACGTCGACGACGGTGATGTTGATGATGATGATGGTGATTTTGACCTGGATGACATCAGTGATCCTGACTTTGAATATGTCAGTGAGAGTGAATTCGAATACGGAAGTGAAATTTATGAGGAAGGCGATCGTGATGTCAACATTGAAGGTGATGGGTCCATGGTCGGGAGCAATGAGCTGAGCGAGGACTACAACGTCTCCGACGACTCCAGCACGTCAGACCACCAGTGGTTTGATGATTCCCACAGCGGGTGCTCCCATTCCAGCCAGTTTCCCAGCCATGGAAACGGCCCCTTCAGCGAGGACTACAACGTTACCAACAGCGAACCCAGCATCTTCAGTGAAACCTCCAGCATTGCCGGCGACGATGATGTCGATGGCATTGACGGCGATGATGCTGTCAGCGTTGCTTCTAATTATGGCTCCAGCAATGAAGATGATTACATCAGCGATGAGCTGAGCATGCTTTCCGAAGACAACGACTCCATCGACGGTGCCTACAAATTTGAAGACTTGAGCAACGATGGATCAAACGATGGCACTGGCGATTCCATCGAGGATTCAAACGATGGTTTCGTGAATTTCAGAGGTGCAGTTGAGGTTCAGTTGTTTGCTGATGGCTACTGGGTCGTGATACCCATCCCCAGTTAAACTTAGTTCACCTCGAACACGCACTGAGGTGCACATAAACTGTCGAAACTATCTCGTAATCATGTAATGACAAGGGGGTTTAATCATGAAAACTCAGTGCAACAAACTCAAACCCACCATTTTGAGCTGCCAGCTTCCCCACATCACGTAGCTGGTTAGTGCGGACGCAGTGGAATCATCGGCGGTCGGTGCAAGGTGTCACTACCCAGGTGTGGCAGATGGTACTCACACACAATCATTGACTTTGCCGAGACCTCTACATACTGGCCCATGCGCATCATGTGGAGTTCAGCTGAGCCGCGCCCTATCCGGTCTATGCCGATACTAAATGGGATCACCATACTGCTGTCAGTAAAAAAAAAAAGTAGGCGATAGAAACTTAACTGTGTATGAAAAATTTAGATTTAGATTTTCATTCAACAAGAAAAAATAGACAAAAAGCTAAATATGTATTTTTTTTTTTAATTCTGCAACTTTTAGTTATATCCCAAGCAACGTTTGCTTGTAACATTGTGATCTCTATCCCATTAATAATATCTATTAGTAATTAAAGGAAATATGTTGAGTATAGTTTACCTCTCGGTCAAACAGTAAAATATTTTTTCTACCTGATTAGAATAGGTTGTACCCATTACTTTTATAGTTCCCATCACATTATTCTTGAATACTGTGGCTTATTGATACTACGGGTCATTACTACACTTCTGCACACCAAGCTTCATAATCCCATGTACACGATTATCGAGCATTTTACACTTCCCCCACCCCCCCAACCCCCCCACAAAAAAAAAATTAACATTGGGTTTAAAATATTTTTTTTAAAAAAATAACATAATTATAATATAAACCGTTCTGCATCAGTTACCTTCCATTTTATTGTAACAAGAGTTGACTGTATAGTTATGAAATAGGCCTACATTTAATATAAATGTTATAACAACAGTATTTGTTTAGTTTTTTTTAAAATCTTGATAGCTTTATTAAATAGGTATTTCTAAATCTGTAGTAGTAATGTTTAGTTTCTTGCGCGCAGATAATGCAACTTATATATTTTTACTTTTTGTTACCAATGTATTTTCTTAATTGATGTACTTAGACTTTTTCTTTACCATTGTAACTTCTTACATGATGTATCACGAATGTTTGTTAACATCACTGATTTGAAAAAACAACAACATAAAAACCAACTATTCTTATCTTTTCAATGAACCATGACAACCTAGATAAGGTAACTCCTCTTTAAAAGTTTGTCTTTATATCTCCATAATTCATCCGATCCAATAACACGCACTTCTGTACATATGTCATAAACACATCAACATATGCTATGTGTTTGCGAGAAACAATGCTCAATAAACGTTGTTTAATTTTAAAAAAATCATGATGTTTTGTTTTTTGTTGTAAACATTTTACTTTCTATGTTTGTAATTAATAAAAAAGTATACCAAAAAATCTTGAAATCTTTGAAATAATGGTAAAATCTGAGCTTGTAATTGGTGCACTGATTATTTCTTTTTACTCAGCTCGCCTCTCCATAACTTATACCAAAAAAATAATTAAATAATATAGAATAAATTCATGGAGAAAATAGTTCATGAAATATTATTAAAATAATAATATCCCCCCCCCCTCCCCAACAAGCGGCTGAAATCATAAAATACTGTAATCCGACCATCAACACCCTTCACAAAAGAAAAGTGTGCACGCACCCTGTGCGTCATCCCAACAAGGGCCCCTACTGAGTCATCCCAGAAAAGGGCCCCACAAATTAAGAAAAGATTTAAACATAACTATGATGATCCTTTGTTTGCTCAGCAGTCCTAAAGCGTAACAGAGCGTTTGTAAAACATAATAATTTTTTATTGTTCAGCGTGGCGCACTCGATACTGCCATTGTTATCATAGAACTGTGTTCAACATTCCCCACTTTTTAGACGTAAATACAATTCCTGTCTAAGACATTTAATGCCCTTAATAATCTGTCAAAATCAAACCTTTTTGCTGCCCATTCGATACTCCTTATGAGCTAATAGTGCTACTTTTTAAAATTAATTCTTTTTTTACTATTGTTTGTTCGCTGATGAAGGATTCCTCCCGACACATTCGCTGCTTTGTTGCGTTTTTTAGTTTTCTCAAACTTTGTTTCACTCATTTATTTATCATCTTTAAATTTACCTTCCCTCCCCCCACATTGTAAGGCGTAGGCACAGAGCTATAAATATATCTCTATATATATAGAGGTCACACGTTGGGAAATACTGCCCAAACAAGCACGAAGAGAGACAACCATTGGAATCTATTTGAATATATAGAGTTTTAGCCCCTTTCGAAATTATTTAAACTTATTCAAGGGTTATCAAACTTTTTGCAGCGCCGTGCCCCAATTAGCATGAATTTTACATTTTCACCATGTTCAACCTCAGTCAACAGGTGAAATAAATTGACCCGAAATCAGACAATGAGACATACCCGTTAAAAATCAACTTTGACTGGATAATTTATATCATACATAATGAAACCAGTTTTAGTACATTGAATTAAGTCAAAAAATTAATCTGTATTAAACAATAATTAATAATTACAGAAAGTATTATTATGAAAATAAAACGATGAAAGATTATCATAAACTTAACGCAAAAATAATTGCATTATCATTATGATAATGATAAAACTTTTATGTCTTTCAAGCATCTGTTATGCAATTAAATTAAACTGATGAAGCATCATATTCTAATGTTTAAAAATAAAATTTATTTTCATTAATTTGATTTTAACGATTATTTACTAACGCCAATGATATTTGAAAAGATTTAAAAATTTTAAAAATTTATTTAATTGAAAATGTTTACAAACTGGTCATAGAAGTTTGTATTGCTTATCACGTGATCAACTTTAATGTCACGTGATTTGATCATGTGATTTTGAACTAGATTAAAATGTTATGATTTCTTTATCATTGTGTTGCTTGCTCAAAGCAAATTATAATCAGCAACTCTGCTTATTTGCTGTGCAGGCATAGCCTGTACACTTGCAAAGTGTCTGAAGATGTCTTTATACAGTATGAGTATAGTGCTTACTTTATTAATAAGTTTCCAATGGCATATGGCAAGTGGTGGTGTCGGTATGTTGTACCCCCGAGATAGCGAAAGCAGGGAAACTAAATTTTTAGACGGTATTTGGCGATTCAGAGCGGACTTTTCACCTTCTCGCAATGATGGATTTACTCAAGAATGGTGGAAGAAGCCGTTAAAAGAGGTTATCTATTTAAAAGTTTTCACTTCTTTTTTTATGCCTGCAAAAATCAAGAGCTTTTATTTTCTTTGCCTGTTTAGGGCCTATGCCCTATTATTATATTATAATATAATTTATACAAATGCTAATTACTAATACTAATACCTACTAAATATAGACTATACTATACTATACTGATTACATAATTTACCTATCCCATTTATTATCAATTTAAAAGTAATAAAAGAAATCTAGCTGATAAAATAATTTTGTAAAGTATTAAAATAGTATTCTTGCATCTTTCCATCTATAAGTAATGATGGTGCAAAAATACAAAGTACAAAGACCTATGACCTAGGCCTAGACAATAAAATATTTATTAATCATTAATCCTAATTAGTTTATTCATTGGATAGGGGACATTTCCAAGCAATTATTTTAGATTAGAATTAAGTTAATTAACACAGAATATGGATGGCTACTCATGTTACATTATGAGTTATCTCTTTTATTAATACCTAACCCCATTCATATTTTTTCATTAAGGCATCTTTGCTATTTCTCATTAAGACTTTATGTTCCAGTTGGCTGATTAATGCTGTTGTGAGTCTGTCTATTAATGTGTTGATTCTTCAGACAGGACCTGTTATTGATATGCCAGTACCAGCAAGCTACAATGATGTCACTGAAGATAAAGCTCTGAGAGACTTTGTCGGCTGGGTATGGTATGAAAGGAGTTTCTTCATTTCCTCTGACTGGACCAACAACAGAAGGGTTGTTTTGAGGTTTGACAGTGCTCATTACTACTCCTTTGTTGTAAGTTGCACAAAAAAAATTTGAACACTTAGTAATTAAAATAGATTGTTGAACTCAAAATGTCATGATTATTTGAAGGGTCGTATTTTTCATATAATTTATTGTAGACTTAATTTATAAGAAATGGTGCGAATGATTGCTTTAAATAGAATGACATGAACTGATAACCTTGAATATTTGAGTGCTTTGATAGAGACCGATAATAAAAGGATTTAATGAAATGACAGATTTTATGAAAATTTCGTATTTTGCCAAGTTATTTCAGAAACCATTAAATTATCTAACAAATTTTTTTATTTTTTTTGGTTAAAGATTTGGTTGTGTGCCGATAATTTTGCATGACCTTGTTGTCGTTTGTTATTTCCACTCTATAAGGCCCAGATCTATTATCATAAATAATGACCTTCAAAGTGATTAGTTTTTACTTGTATCTTTGAAGACCAAAGTTTTAGACTCGTCAAGTGCCCTTATGAAGATCAGATATTAGACATGATCTCTGTCCTTGAAGTGATAACATTTTTTAGGTCAATATTGAAATTAATTAAAGTTGTATCAAAAGTCACCCTGGGGAACTCTTAATGGTTAACACTTTAAAGCAGGCCTGCACAATATACGGCCGTGGGCCGCATAGCACCCAATTTGTGGCCCGCGAAGACTTTGGTGAAAAAATCATAATATCATAAATTAATATTAATATTCCCTAAGTTATTGATGTATAATACTACGATAGATATATATACAGTATAATACTATAAATAATCAAATACAATTTTTTTTTCCTGACACCTATACTTGAAAGGAATGTTTTGTTTTATTTAAATCCAATTAAATTAGACCTCCCAATTGTTTATATTTGTGTAAATATTTTACTACATGTTAGCTTTCCTGGTGAAGAAATGTAATCATACACACACGTTTTTCCCTAGCAATTACTCTTTGTCTCGGTAGCGTAAGTGTGTTCAAAACTAGTGTCTTCTATGGAGAGTAGCATTTTATTAGTTTTGTAATATTGTCTAGAATTGTGTTGTGTTGAACTCACGTATCGCGTTATTTTGATAATCTGTGAATTTAGTTCGGAACTATACTTATAGACTTGTTCTTGATATATTTAAGCACCATGAATCAAAACAGAAAGAGAAAACTAGGGATGAAGCACATAGTTTTTATCCTGAATGGGCAAGTAAATACTTATTTACAGTGTTCAAGGAAAAAAATACTGTGCCTCGTATGTCCTGACATGGTTGCTGCACCGAAAGAGTGTTTTCTTCGCCGGCATTTTGAATCTAAGCGCCCTAATTTGTCAAAATGGTACCGACATGAAAAATCCACTAAAGCCGTGAATCTATCGACAACTCTTACTGGAGAGCAGACATTTTTCAAGAAAAAGAAGAGTGACAATGAGACTGCTACCAAGTTTAGCTTTTATATTTGAATGGAAATTGCTACTGCTGGGAAATCCTTTACTGAAGGCAAATTTGTAAAGAGGTGCATGCTGATTGCCACGTCTGAATCATGTCCGGAAAAAAACATTATTTCAAAATGCCAGTTTATGGCGAATGACACTGCAAAGAAAAAAAAACTGTATTTGCACCAATATTCAAGGACAGTTAAAGCATAAAACTTGTAAATATTCTTTTTTATTTTCTAGCTATGGGAGAAAGCACAGTTTTAAAAGACACTGCCCGACTTCTCATTTTCATTAGAGGTGTCGACAAAAACTGTGAAATTACCGAAGCACTTGCAGGAATGTGTTCCATGTAAGGTCGCACAACCAGAAAAGATATCCTCAATGAAGTCATAAAGTGCTTGAAAGATAAGTTGGGATTAGATTTTATAAAATTAGTGGCCATTTGTACCGATTGTGCCCGGAATATGACAGAGCAGTTGCGATTCTTGAAAATTTTATTGGAAGGCAAATAAAAAAAATATCATTGCACTATAAACGCGCAGGCCTTGTGTAGCCAAGTGTTACATTTAGAACATGTTACGTCAGTTGTTGTCAAAAGAGTTAACCATATAAGATCAAGAGGACTTAAACATAGGGCTTTTCATACTTTTCTAGAAGATATAGACGCTGACTACAGAGACGTAATATACCAAGCAGAAGTGAGATGGTTAAGCCGAGGGAAAGTGCTTCAACGATTCGTTGCTTTAAATAAGGAAATATCTAAATTCCTAGAAGACAAAGCAAAGGAATTCCCAGAGTTTGAAGATGACTCCTGGAATCATGACCTCTTCTTCATTTGTGATGTAAAAGAGAAACATCTAAATGACCTTAACGTTCAACTTTAAGGTAGGCAACAACTTGTATTTGGTATCTTTGGAGCATTCAACGTATTTAAACTGAATATGAAACTTTTCAAAACCCAGTTACTAAATAGTGAAAGGAGTCACTTCTAAAAAGCATTTTCCTCAGGACAAGCACGTCAAGTTAGGAAAACAACTTGCTAATGAAATTAACCTTTTGATAGAAGAATTTGATAAAAGACTCACTCTTTCTAAAGAAGAATGACTTCAATTTGAACTAATTTGATCCATAAACATACCAGTTTATTTGCACCTGGAGCTTATCGAACTACAATGTACGGAAATTTACCGAAGCAAGCACAGAAAGAGCAGCCTGCAGGAGTTTTGTCAAAATCTGAGAAGTACCCAAATCTTTACGAAGGTGCACTAACAACTTGTAGTGTGTTTGGAACCACTTATCTTGTGTGATGATCATTTATTTGGAACCCATCTTAAAAACAGACACTTCCAATATACCTCCTGAATATGACAAACTTGTAACCAAAATACGATGCAATATTTCACATTAAATCTACCTCGTAAGTAAAGAAATATTCATTATAGTTATTTTTTTCTTATTAGCTCCCCCTCCCCCTCTTTGCCGTTCTATTTTGTTTTGGCCAGCACAATTTTTTCATGAAGTATTATGGCCCGCCTCACATTTTGAGTTGTGCAGGCCTGCTTTAAAGGACAGAAATACTGTCAATTAAAATAGAATGAATATACCATTGGAATTTTATGTTTCTCTCAAATATTAAAATTTAGTAATTTAATATGTCTTTTAAGCTATGATAACCTGCTACTCTAAGCAAAGATATGTGCACTTAGTAGATCAAAGGGCCCAGACCAACATAATGAATATGCAGAATTATTTTATTACACTGGTATTTACTTTACTTACACCTCTTAGTCCTTTTGGAGCATGGGCCGTATACTTTTCCATTCATCTCGGACCTGTTCTTGCCTTTTCAGTTGCTTCCAGGTGTGTCCCATACTTAGTGTGTCTGCCTCTAGCTCACATCTCCATGATTCTTAGGCCTTCCTTTCATTATTTTTCCCTTTGGATTCCATGTTAGGGGTTGTTTGGTGATATTATCTGGGGGGTTTACGGAGAGTGTGCCCTATCCACCTTCCATCTTTTCTTTATGACGTCTCAGCAATAGGCTCCTGGTTTGTCCTAAATGGTTCTAACATTCCATGAATGTATGTTTATTGCCTTTAAAGAGGAGGGTCCTCGGCTTTGAGTCTTCCAGTATAACCTGGCTTTGTCTGCAAGGCTTCTAACTCTTCTTGGGAAGAAAAGCCTTAATCTTATCATGACTGAAATTTTTTTTATTTATTTTTCTTCCTGTTGATGTTTCTGTTGCATATTTTATATTTATCATATTTTATAGATGAAGTAGCTGGCCTCATGCCAATCCTCCTCGTTTTGCACCCGGGCTTAGTACTGTCCATGGCAGAGTTACTGTTTATGCTCTTGACTTGTAATTTTAACTGAAAACTAAATCAAAAGCTATTTCAAAAGAAATTATATATAGGTTGAAATATGTGCATGACAGAGTCAATGTCAGAGTGAATGTCAGAGTGAATGTCGTGATTGTGTCCAAGGGTTGGGATACTATTATATTGTATAGCATTTTATAATTGTAATAATCCTAACAATTACCGAATAATTGATTTTTTTTCTTCCACAGTGGATCAATGGCGTACAACTCATGACACACAGTGGTGGCCATCTACCATTTGAAGGAGAAGTCCAATCACTGCTTAATTTTAATGGACCAAACTATGTCACAGTTGCTATCAACAATACCCTTTCTCCTACAACATTGCCCCCTGGGACAATTCAATATCAGACTGATACCTCAAGGTATGTTGTTTTTAAATGGTAAGAACAAGGTATGTGAAAGCCTTGAATAATGACAAAAGACAATCAAAATGATCTATCTGCTTAAAGCTTTCACCAGAATCGCAATAAAAACACAACCCAAAAAAAAACCTATAAAATCAGACCTGACATTTTAGGTCATATGATCAAATAAGTTAAAGTTGAATTTAGAGTTTAAAATTCATCTTTGTTTGTATGAGCATAAAATATGTAAACATGAATTAAGAACGCTTAAAATCTGCAATGGTCCAATTAATATTTTTAAAAGGAGCAAAATGGATTTTTAAAAGTTCAGCATGTAAATACTTGTCTTTTACAGATATCCAGCTGGTTATTTTGTCCAAAACTTACAAATGGATTTCTTCAACTATGCCGGTATTCATCGCCATGTGCGCCTGTACACAACCCCACTTATCTATGTGGATGATATTACAATTCTTACAGACGTGCAGAGTGATAAAGGTAAAAATCAAATTAAATTGCTTTTATTTCCTGTGATAAATTTGTTCCAGGCGAAAAGCAATCTAAAAATAAAACACCAGGTAAAATCTTTTCAAATTGGGCCTTTAACCGCAAGATGGCGCCCTAAGCACCACCCCCCCCCCCAAAAAAAAAACACCCGGTAAAAACTTTTTAAATTGGGCCTTTAACCCCCCCCCCCCCCCCAAACACTTAGGACGCAAATAAAAAATAAATCATGAAGACAGATATTTAGCTGGCTATCACAGTACTAGTACAATGTAGTATTTTTTTAAATCTACTGCTAGAGAAATGAATGATCATTTTATTCTTGACTCTGTTGCCAGGTCATGTGACCTACACCATTGATGTGGGTGGAGGAGTGCCCAAGTACATGGATGTTTCGGTTCTGGATGTGAACGGTCAAGTTGTTGCAAAGAGCTCTAAGACAATGGATATACTGACGATCCCCTCCCCCACATTGTGGTGGCCATTTGGAATGAACCAGACGATAGGATACCTGTATACTCTTCAGGTACTTTAGCATTATTGACCTTTTGCTGTTGTAGGGATTATATTGTTTACTGAGTCTTAGCCATCCATCCCTGTGGCGCTACAGCTTATGTAGGGCTTTGTCCTGCCTCACCACTTCCTTTCACTCAGATCTAACTGATGCTTTTCAATGCTTCAATTCCCAGCTGCTGTAGATCTTTTTTTCACATCATCCATCCATCTAAGCATGGGTCTGCATTTGAGCTGTTTTCCTCTGGTCTGTTGGTGGTGCACCCTCTTCAGTCCTCTGTCATTTGGTATTCTTTCTAAGTGTCCCTGCCCTTTTTTATTTCTGCTACTACAGTGAGATCCTGATATTTTTTTATTTGCTCTTTGAATGCTCATGGTGAGACTTTCATGATTAATCATCCTTGCTGTTCATCTTTGTTATCCAAAATGATTATGGCTTGTTATGAAAAATATGTTGATAGTTAAGTATGGTTGTCATAGTTTGAGTAACCTTTTAGATCCAGAGTTATCCCCCATGTTCACTGAATACATGTCGTACATTAGATGACATCTAAAACATTTGTTATACAGAAATACCCTGTTTGTTGCTAGTTATTTATTTATGCATAAATATTTGTAACTTTAAATAAATTGTACTATGTATGTATCTTTTCAGATAGTCTACTTTTTCTTTCTTTCTTTCTTTCTTTGAATTTATCATACACCAAGAACAATTAAAGTTAAAGCTATCGTTCTCAATACCTTTTTTCCTTAGATCTGTAAACTGAATTTAAAACTGTATTGCCACCAACCAACCGGCCCCTTGGCACGTGGCTACACATAGGATGTATAAAAAATGTAATGCCTATAATATGTAACTTGTCGATGACATCACAAATTTTGTTGTTTTTGTTGACTCTATAAAAGGTGAATGCCTCCGGTGATGTTTATCGACAACCATTTGGGATTCGAACCATCAGAGTGACAGAGAACCAGTTCTTGATCAATGAAAGGCCATTTTATTGTCATGGAGTTGCCAAGCATGAAGATTCTGATGTGAGTAATATAAGCTGCAATTTACCACAATTGATTAGTCAAGAAATTACTTTGATGTACACAATGATAGGTACAAAGATAGCCAAATATGTTTTTTTTTAAATTTCCAAAGGTACTTAATCATCTAAGAACTGTATCACTTTTCTCCCCATTTTTTCATCTTTAGCAAAGGTTTGATTGTGTGAATCAATTTTTAAAAGAAATTTTAACATTACCTAGAAGATTGAAATTAATCATGTGGAACATTTTCATCCTTTCAACTTTGACCTATTTTATGAATGTTATAAAATTTGAAAGTAACATTATAAAATGTCTATAAATAGACAAGAAAAATATAAGATACTCACATCCATAAGATTAGTGAATGTATTTGTGCAACCGTGGCAAGTTGATGTACTCCCTAGTTGGTTATAAACCAATATGTGGTGATAATTACGCACAAGTTGAAAAGTCATGGCTTACATTACCATTTTAATTTAATTTTGTAACAATTCTTTTTATCCACACAAAAGACAAATTATGATAAAAAAAATGACAAATGCATGACCTAGACAATATTTTTAAAAGTATACTAAAATTCCTTAACTTTAATTTTGATACTTTTTTTACTCTGAAAAAATATTTATGGCATCAAGTATTAAAGATTAAATTTTGCTCATCCGTGTTACCTGGCCAAAGATATTTGAGAATCAAATGGACTTAACCCCCATCCCCCCTTTTCTTTAAAAAAATAATTTGTATTTTTTTAGTCTTAGATAGTAAATGTTAGATTTTTCCTTTGATTTCCACAGTGTTATAAAGTGATTTTCACACCAGAATGTAATATTACAAATGTGTACTTTATTTTGACATTATAGAATGTACATATTTGAAAATAATTTGACTAACTTTTTTTCCTCTGTGTCTGCTCTGTGTGTAACATTTTTGGCATTTCAACTTTTTCTTTTAAATATGTATATCAACAAAGAGTTACATAGCAATTTCATTTAATAGTTACGTGGCAAGGGTCTGGACTACACTTTAATAACCAAAGATTTTAACTTGCTGAGATGGCTGGGCGTGAACTGTATAAGAACTTCTCATTACCCATACGCTGAGGAGATTATGGAACTAGCTGATAGGCAGGGAGTGGCTGTCATAGATGAATGTCCAGGAGTTGGCATAAAAAATGAGTAGGTCTATATTTGAAAAAAAAATTGTTATGGTTTTCTATGATAATTTTAATTTGATGTTAGTATTTTGTTTTGTAGTTGCGTGGCAAAGGTCTGGACTACACTTTAATAACCAAAGATTTTAACTTGCTGAGATGGCTGGGTGTGAACTGTATACGAACTTCTCATTATCCGTATGCAGAAGAAATTATGGAACTTGCTGATAGACAGGGAGTGGCTGTTATTGATGAAAGCCCAGGAGTGGGTATTACAAATGAGTAGGTTTGATTCAATTTTAAAGTTCAATAAATTATCTGTGACATAACAACTAACACAACCTAACCTACTTGAAATGTTATAAACACAATTTCAAAAAGATAAAATAACTACGCGACCATTATTATAACTTTAATAAATACCTTAAAATTACTTACACTCAGAAATTAACTCTTATGATATCCGTCATGATTTAACCATATTTTATCATTTCTATTTATGGATTTAAATATTTATGAAACCTATTGTTTTTCTTCAAATGAGATTAATAATATTTAATCCTTTTAAATAGATTTTTTAATAGATAACGAAACAAAATAATTTTATTTAAATCAATCCATGTTTAAATATATTATTATATGTATCTATAATTTTAAATTGTTAAAGATTATTGAAATTAAAAATTAAATAACCTCATTTTGATTCTATAGCTTAGAATATTTGTATCTAGAATCACTAAAAATTTGCACAAGAAGCTGTGAACATTGAAGTTAAACACCGGATGGGGTTATTTAAATGTACAATTCCTTGTCCAGAAAAATTTGGTCAGTAGGAAAATATATTAGATAATGTAAAAATATTTGATTAAAAAATGTTCAATGTATGAATAAATCAATTTTATGAACTTGTAATAAGTGATGATTTTAAAATTGTATAAGCCACAATTGAGAAGAGAAATATATGTCCTATTTAGGAACTAAAATTGATAAATCCACTCTTTGTTTTTAGCCTGGTTGGTCTTTTGGCTTTTATTTCTCTCTAACTTTGTAGGCATTATTTCTTTACTGTATATGAGTGTATATTTGTCTGCTTAGTTTAATTTGTGGTGGTTCTGCAGAAGTAAGCCTTTTAGCCAAAGGGTTAATTACTCTAGGTCAGAGGTTTCCAAAGTGGTCTACATCGATCCCCCAGGGGTTGACGACAACTTGCAAAGTGTCGATGTCAGCGGGAAAAAAAATCAATATCAGATAAGCAGGGGGTCTACCCAAAACCGAAAAAACATGGCAAGTGGTCTACGAGACAAAAAAGTCTGGGGACCTCTGCTCTAGGTTGTGTACAGTTAGGCTGAAGCCAAACTAAAAAATAAATTTTTAATCTTACAACCTTCATCATCATCCTTAATGCTGAAAAATTCTCTTTATATTAATTTCCTTTTTTTTTTTAAAATTCTCTGACAAGTTGCTAGTTAAGTTCAGATTACTACTGTCTAAGTTTCTTTGTTGTTTTTTGTGTGCTTTTTTATAGATGAAGAAGACTTTCAGCCTGCACAAGTTGGATTAGTTTTGTTGCGTCTCACTGAAAGCCTTGTAGACATTGTGCTTCTTTTTCCCTCACATTTTTGAGAATGAGACGGAAAGGCTTAGTTTTTAAATTTTTCTTTCAGTAACAATATGGGCAATGAGTCCCTGGCCCATCACATTGAGGTGATGTCTGAGATGATTAGGAGAGATAAGAACAAGCCTTCGGTCATCATGTGGTCAGTGGCTAATGAGCCGGATACCACTAGACTGGCTGCTGTTCCATACTTCAAGTAAGGAAAGGGAATTAACTTCAGTCTTATTAATAAATGGAGCATAGTGGCACAAGTGCCACCAGGGGTGGGGTAGGACTGAGGCAGCGAGAGACTATTGTCTTGGGGGGTGGGGGATTATCCCTAAATTTAAATACAGGGCATAAGAAAACACCTGTGTATTTATTTCACAGTTGCAAAAGCCCAGTAACTTGTAAAATGGTCCCTAGGGGGCGCTTCATCGCTTTCATTATTTTAGAAATGCAAGAATTATGGGGATATAATTTGTAATCTGCAATTAAAAATGTACTTTTGTTAATTTTAGGTGTGTTATTAGCTAAAAAAATTATAGTTTAACAAGATTCACTTTCAATACATCATAAACCTTGTTAAACCATTCATAGAATATAAATAGCTGTACAAATATTTCACCACAACACAGATAGCTTCTTGACAACCCATACACTGTGTGTTACCAATATTTTAAGTGCTTAAAGTTTAAACCATATGCATAAGTTCACAGAAAACAGAATTTGCTGTAGATCGTTTCATGTGTATGTGAAACTAAAAGTACAACATATCCCTAGCAGAACTCACCAGCAAACTGTAAACTTACCAAGCCTCATCATCCTGAACATAAGTGTACAATGCTGACCCTTCTGCTAAATGAAAATAAGACCATTTAGAGATGTTTGCTTTCATTTGGTTTTTTACATTTATTTTTTGATATGCTTATTACACATGAAAGTGTCATGTCTGAGAAGCAAAGTACCCACACTGTAACTGGTTTAGAAGCAAAGTACCCACACTGTAACTGGTTTAGAAGCAAAGTACCCACACTGTAACTGGTTTAGAAGCAAAGTACCCACACTGTAACTGGTTTAGAAGCAAAGTACCCACAATTTGACTGGTTTAGAAGCAAAGTACCCACACTGTAACTGAACTCAGTGGGATGGCTGCTATAAATAAAAGGTACACCCTAATTGCACCACAAATAGTTCTCGACTCATGCATGGATTCTGGAAAAATATCAATTCAAATAGCATGAGCCCAGCTGAAAAAGTCCCTGTTTTTTTTATTGTAGTGTCTTGATAATTTGATATGTTGATTTTCAGAGCTGTCCTGCAGCATACAAAGGACACAGATCCAGCCCATAGACCAGTGACCTTTGTCTGTGACCAGTCTTATGCAAATGATCGAGTGGTCAGTCTTACTCTTAACCTTACTTGAAATTTATGTAGTATTTTCTTTGATAGCTCAGCTTATATGAGCGCGATGAATTCTTTGCTACTCTTTCAGTCGACATTATTATTTTTAGATTTTGAAAAGTGTTCATTAAAGCCAAAAATTTGGAATAAAATTGTACAGAGTCATATTTATGTAATGTTAACAGATGGTGCGCTAGGTTGTTTCCTAAACATTTAAATTAGGTGGCCCTTTAGACAAGTTTCAAAAGAGCACGGGGAGTGGCGCCTGATTTATTAATTATATTTTCTATATAGCTGACAATATATATTCTTGTTGTGTGGACCGGTAATGTAAGCCTTGCAGAGTGGTGGCGGTCCACGGACCACCATTTTTGGAATGCTGTGCTAGATTACATTTATACTAAGTACTACAATAAAAGCATAATATATTTTGTTATATCATTAGACCTGAAAAAACTTTAAAATATTGTTTTGTATGCGCTGTTCAAACTTTACTTCCTACTTTATAAAAATATCATTAGAAGAAAGGGAACAAATATGTTGAACAGTGCGTGGAACTAATTGGAATAGTTTTTGGTTGCTCTTTTCAGATCCCTTATGTCGATGTCGTGTGCCTGAACCGTTATTTCGGATGGTACCAGGACACGGGGCACCTAGAAGTGATTCAGCTTCAGATGCACTCATGGTTTGCTGGCTTCAGGAACCGCACCAAGAAGCCCATAATTGTGACGGAATACGGGGCAGATACGGTTGCTGGACTACACAGGGTACTTGTCATGCTATTCTCTTCAATGGAGAATATTTAGGAGAGGTCATCAATACTGTTGTAATGGCTTGCAATACCTTAAATTATTTGATAGACTTTTCACAAGTCTAATAATAAAATAAGAATATATATAAAAAAAATTATTTTTTTTTAAATAAATAAATACAAGTGACAAAGTAGAAAAAAACTGAATGGCATTTGATGCATTGTTATTTATGGTCAGTGCACGTATTCAGTGCAAAGAAATAGATGCAATGAATGCTTTATTTTATCAAAATAGAAAAATAAAGGCAAGACTCATTTTTAAAGCATTTCTTACAAACTTTGCAGACTCATGGGTGGCAGTCTATTCTTAACGTTAGGTAATAATCATATCTCCCACTGGCTTTTTCTCTCCCTAAAGGAACCATCTTTTGTGTTCACGGAAGAGTACCAGGTGGAGTTTCTCCAAGAGTACCACCAAGAGTTCGACAGGGCTAAACAAGAGTTTCTTGTAGGAGAAATGGTCTGGAACTTTGCTGACTTCATGACACCTGATGGTAAGGCAATAATCATTAGCTTGAGAAGCACTGGCAGATGTGAGGAGTCTCTTAATGCCAAGCACTTAATTCCATGTCCTGTTTTTGTTATTCAATTACAAGTTGTTGTTTTTTTAAGTGTTTTTTTTTAGTTGTATTTTTTAAAGATTATCCAATGGGTTTCTTTGGTTATTCTTCAAAAAAAAAATATATATATATACATGTATATATATTAAACAATTATTATTTTAATAAAAGCAACATATTGTTGTTATCTAAAGAAAGAAAGTAATAGAGATAAATCATTTATTTCTTTAACCATATCAAGAGATAACATACTTGTTCATGTTCAGCCAGTGATATCACGTATCGACACCTTGAGATAAAACACAATATAAAAAAAATACCTGTACCAACCAAGTCCCACCCGCCAGGTCCCACCCACTGAGTCCCACCCCCCAAGTTCCACCCACCACACCAACTCCCACCCACCTGTGCAAGCTGTTTTGTTGTTTCTAATCAGTCAAGAAAATCTTTTACCCCGCGCCCCACTTGAATCGTTACAGGCATAACCAGGGTTTTAGGCAACAAAAAAGGTCTGTTGACACGGCAGCGACAACCAAAGAGAGCGGCGTTTATCATACGGGATCGCTACAACGCGTTCGCCAACGGATCACCAGCATCCTGTGGTTGCAGCAGCCCTGCAACTAAGTTGAGCTCCAAGCCTCATGAGTATCAGTGGACAGATCAAACTATCATTGGGAAATAAAATTTGAGAAAATGTCAATCTATGAACTGGGGAATGTATATTGGGGTTTCGTTTTGTTTTTTAATAGGGGAAAAATTTTAGTTCATAAAAGTTTCATTACCTTGATTTTAAGTTTTAAAAATGCAATTGATAGAGAAACACAATAAATTAAAAAAAAATTCATATTACAACTTGACTTTTAAGAATTTTTTAGTTTAAACTTTGTGTTAAAGTAACTGCATTTTTGTGTTAAAGTAACTAAATTTAGTGGTAAAGGCATACAAATTTAGTGGTTAAGTAACTAAATTTATTGGTAGGGTAATTAAGTTTAGTAGTAAAGTAACTGAATATAGCGGTAAGGTAACTAAATTAAGTGGTGAAGTAACTAAATTTAGCATTGTTTGAATTTCTCAGCTCTTTCTTTTTATGGTTTAATTGAGCTTAAATACTTAATATGTTTTTTTTATATATTTACTTATACAACACATATACTGGTAGTCTTCGACATCATGCCCAGTGGTGGATTCATGTTTCTGGAATTCTTATGCTCATTTAGACTAGGTCTTTCTCTATATTTCGGGGAATATATGAAAGATATGATGGCATTGATAAATTGTAAAAATGATTTCTGATCTTTGTTGTTCACCTACCCCCTTTTTGTTTATTTCTTGATTTTTTATCTATTTGTGCTGAGTCATTAATTGATTTGGAATAAAGAAGGCAATGACATAACAAAGTGTGGTGGAGTGGCGGGGCTGTGCCCCTGGTGCATAATTTTCAAGCATTAAAAGTCAAGAGATTTTTTTTGAAAAAGCAGTGAAGGAGAATTTTTAATAAATGTAGTTTACTTAAAATGCATCAGTATTTTCTTGTAATTCTTTACTTGCGCATGGAGTAAGGGCTGCTATACTGGACTGATTCTAAGTACTTGGTCAGTCTTAACAGTCCATACATTTATATATTTATATATATTTATATATATATATATATATATATATATATATATATATATATATATATAGTATATATTGGGAAAGAGGGGGTGATATTATTTGTCTTTTCTACATACATTTATATATTTATATATATTTATATATATATATATATATATATATATATATATATATATATATATATAGTATATGGTGGGAAAGAGGGGGTGACATTATTTGTCTTGTCTTGGGTGCTGGCAACCCACATAATGCCACTGAAAGAATGTCCTATATTTTTTTACATTTTACCATTAGAAATTCCCCTCCCCCCCTCCAACCAGAAGTGTATTCAAGATAAACACAAACCCATAAACCAATGCAATTACTCCACTGGTCATGTGTGTTGGTCACCTTGTTTCAGATTTTGATAACGATGTAACCCTTTTGAATGCTGCTGTTTTGCAGTAAATGTAACATATTAAAAATATTTGTATTACGAAGTCATGACAATATATTCTATGTACATTTTATATACCTATATTAATATTATCTTTAACTAAACACATGACATGTTTTTTTCTTACAATTTCGATTCTTGTATTTTAAATGTTTCTCAAGCATTCCAAAGCCATGAAGTAAAATCTATGCAACGGTGACTTTATTGAACCCTAGCATTTACTGGACATTAATTTATGTCTTTCAGATATACACTGAGGGACATAACCTATAATTTTGATACTTACTGTGGGTCCTGCATTTTTCACCTTAAAATACTTAACAATTTTTCACATTTTGTAACTTTTGTAACAACTATTTTCAAATAATGTAACTTGTGTTACAACTTTTTTCAAATTTTCTAACTTGTGTTTGTACTTGCACCCAAATGATGCCACCCTCCAGTGTCCACCAGTCTGGACCCCACCTCAGGTGTCCACCAGTCAGGACCCCACCTCCAGTGTCCACCAGTCTGGATCCCTCATCTCTCATCATTAGTGATCTGCACCATTCACTTGTGCAAAGTTTCCATTGACACTATTAGCAATCCATACTATCCAGTGTTTCAAAATAAATATCTATGCAATTCCTTACTTGGGCATCCTCTTGTGTCCCTGAGCATTGGCCAAAAGATGATAACCGAGTTTTGTAGTGGGTGACATCCTATCTGTTGTAATCTATAACATCCTATTTGTTTTAATCTATGACATCCTATGTGTTGTAATCTATGACATCATATGTGTTTTAATCTATGACATCCTATGTGTTGTAATCTATGACATCCTATGTGTTTTAATCTATGACATCCTATCTGTTGTAATCTATGACATCCTATTTGTTGTAATCTATGACATCCTATCTGTTGTAATCTATGACATCCTATGTGTTGTAATCTATGACATCCTATGTGTTTTAATCTATGACATCCTATGTGTTGTAATCTATGACATTCTATGTGTTGTAATCTATGACATCCTGTGTGTTTCAATCTATGACATCCTATGCATTGTAATCTAATGACATCCTATTTGTTGTAATCTATGACATCCTATGTGTTGTAATCTATGACATCCTATGCGTTGTAATCTATGCCATCCTATGTGTACTAGTGAGTATGATTTGTATCCCCTTAGTGTTGTTGTGGGTGCCTCCCCACTGAGCTGTAGTGAGCACAATTTTTGCACGTCTTCCATCAGTGAATTCCAACATGTAGGCCTAAACAGTATTGACAGGGGGGGATCACTGCCATTTACATCACGTTTTTGTTATTACTATCAGGGAATCGAGTATCATTATTTACATTAATGACCAGTGCCTAAGATATTTAATTGCTAAAGGATGGTGTCTGGAAGTGCAACCGCCAAACTGATGTGAACGTTTGAGAAATGTTGCAGATTGTAAGAGGCCACTGGCCTGGAACGAGCCAATTGTGTCATATACTAAGATATGTGTATTGAACTTATCTTAAGATAGTGTATCATTGCATAATAGTGGTGGGTGTATTGAAATCATCTTAAGATGGTATATTATTGCATATTACTACAGCGTGGCCGAGCGGTCTGAAACAGTCAATCTTACACTTGTTGACTGGCGTTCAATGCAAAGCGAAAAGCACCTAGACAAGCAAAAATATCACCAGCAGCCCGGGTAGATGGGACTTGTTATCCCTGGATGGCAACTGATCTAAGAGAGGGCAAACTCTGAATTATTATTCAAACCCGGGCGTGGGGTCCCGTAGGCGGTGTGGCTTTGATACTAAGGAAATTCCGACAACTGCTGCGATTCTACTGGTGTCAAGCTGTATCATCCACACATGATGTTGCCTTGGTTTATCCAGGTTCGTGGAGAGATGTGATTGGCTGTCTTGTCTAGGGTGAAGAATCCCGGCAAAGTCTATAACATCATCATTATTGTGACGGAAGTGTGCCCCCCCCCCCACCAAAAAAAAACAAACACCAAAACAAATATTATTGCATGAGGTTAATAAATTGTAGAGAACGTACTTTATTTTTGTTGTTGTTATTCAAATATTCACTGTTTTGTTTTGTTGAACTATTTGTGTGGTTGTCTTTGTGGTGACGTGTTGTGGTCATGTGGTAGCAACTGGAGAAATGTGATTTTTTTTTTTCCGCTGGATGAATTATGGCAGACATGTTGTTTGGGGCAGAGAGAGAGAGGATTCTGATGATCCGAGCGATGAACTTCCTCCGAACGCTTTTATCGGTTGGGGGGAGGGGGTGGGGGGGGGTTACATTTAACGGATTTCCGCAAGGTGTTAGGCCTGCTGGTGGTTCATGGGGTGGATTGTTATGGGGATGACAATGTCAGGGTTCAGAATATAATAACCAAAAAAAAAAAAAATTTGATCTATGTTTTTTCCCTCTACGCTTTTGAAATCACACTGTGATCCACGACGGCTGCGTGATGCATTCATTTAACGACCATGGTACAAGAGTCTTTAAAACTATTTTAAACCATGTACGTGCGCATGGCAAAGTACCAGACTGGTTTCGTGTATAAACACCAAATGTAATCGTGCTCTTCTAAGCAGTTTGGCGTTCTCAGTTCGGGAGATTAGCTGCGCTCTCCGGAAGTGACTCGGAGGATCAGTTGTAAAGAATAGATAAGGGAGGGCTTGTTGTACAGAATAGATGAGGAAGGGTTTGTTGTACAGAATAGATGAGGGATGGTTTGTTGTACAGAATAGGTGGGGGAGAGTTTGTTGTACAGAATAGATGAGGGAGGGTTTCTTGTACATAGTAGATGAGGGAGGGCTTGTTGTACAGAATAGATGAGGGAGGGTTTTTGTACAGAATAGATGAGGGAGGGTTTGTTGTACAGAATAGATGACGGAGGGTTTGTTGTACAGACGGAGGGTTTGTTGTACAGAATACATGAGGGGGGTTGTTGTATCGAATAGATGATGGAGGTTTTGTTGTATCGAATTGATGAGGGAGGGTTTGTTGTACAGAATAGGTGAGTTAGGGTTTGTTGTACAGAATAGGTGAGTGAGGATTTGTTGTATAGAATAGATGAGGGTGGGTTTGTTGTACAGAATAGATGAGAGTTCGTTATACAGAATAGGTGGGGGAGGTTTTGTTGTACAGAATAGATGAGGGAGGGCTTGTTGGACAGAATAGATGACGGAGGGTTTTTTGTACAGAATAGATGAGGGAGGGGTTGTTGTACAGAATAGGTGAGTGAGGGTTTGTTGTACAGAATAGATGAGGAAGGGTTTGTTGTACAGAATAGGTGGGGAAGGTTTTGTTGTACAGAATAGATGAGGGGGGCTTGTTGTACAGAATAGATGAGGGAGGGTTTCTTGTACAGAGTAGATGAGGGAGGGCTTGTTGTACAGAATAGATGAGGGAGGGTTTTTGTACAGAATAGATGAGGGAGGGTTTGTTGTACAGAATAGATGACGGAGGGTTTGTTGTACAGAATACATGAGGGGGGTTGTTGTATCGAATAGATGATGGAGGTTTTGTTGTATCGAATTGATGAGGGAGGGTTTGTTGTACAGAATAGATGGGGAGGGTTTTTTGTACAGAATAGGTGAGGGAGAGTTTTTTGTACAGAATAGATGAGGGAGGGTTTGTTGTACAGAATAGGTGAGGGAGGGTTTGTTGTACAGAATAGATAATGGAGGGTTCATTGTACAGAATAGATGTGAGCTACAGGGGAGGCCATTTGTTTAAAAACAAAATTTCAAATTGTTTAAGATATAATCTTATATCAGTTGGACAGTGCACATATTATATTACGCGAAGAGTGGGGTAGAGCGCGGTTGATCATTTTGTTGTACTGTGCTATGTGGGGGGGGGGGTGTTAGAGAGCAATGCTATATACAATTAAACTTTTTAATCCTTTTTTTTTTTTTTTTTTTTTTTGTTTTTTATTTGTAAAAAAAAAGTTGTTTTTAAAATTTTAGAAATTAGCATAGATTAGTAAAAAGCTAAAATGCATTTTTTTTTCTCACAAAAAAACTGTCATATTTTTATTTTAAACAATAGTGCCTGGCTTTTGCATCAAATTTGCTTGTTTTTTTTGGCTTGTCCTTTTTATTATATTTTATTCTGTTTCATGTCACCAGAGTGTGTGGGTAGATAGAGGTTTGCTAGAAATGTTATTTACTATAAGGATGAGATCAATGGAAATCATATGTAATACAAGGTGGTGGTCAATACAAAGGTTATATAACATTATTAGGCGGTAAGGGTTGCCAAAAATATCACAGTTTCGTGTTGAAATGATATATGCACTGCTCATGCACTTATCCACTTAATCCAGTTTCTAATCCTGAATCCAAAGTACCAGTGCTCAACGTCACAGGTCAGAGTAGGGAGTCAGAAAAGACCCGAGAGATTTTTTTGGTCGACATTTTCTACACTGACTTATGCATCCAGCTATGGGTATCAAATTCTATGACGTCGCTTTTATATTCGGTTTTATATTCGGCTTTATAATCAGTGTTATATTCGGTGTTATTTTCGGTTTAATATTCGGTTTTATATTCGGTGTTATATTCGGTGTTATTTTCGGTTTAATATTCGGTTTTATATTCGGTGTTATATTCGGTGTTATATTCGGTGTTATTTTCGGTTTAATATTCGGTTTTATATTCGGTGTTATATTCGGTGTTTTTTTTCGACCCAACATTGAGTTAGTGAAGTTTTGTATCTGAAGTATTTCCTCTTTTTTTTTTTTACCTGTACTTCGTGTTACTGGAGTTTACTAAGTGAATTTTTCCACCTCGATGTGATCGGTGGCATTTGTTTCCATCCACAACTTTGGTCTCTTGTATGAAATCCAAATGCAGATGTGCTCTGTGCGTGCGCGAAGGCCTCGATAAAATAAACAATCATAATACATTTAAAAGATAAATATACCAAACAGTGTATGCTTTCTATGGAGCTTTTATCGTTAACAACGAAATTATCAAATGTAAGTTAAACAAAGAAGCATTTATTATTTTATTTTTTTAAAGTCTAGTACAGGGATTCTCACTAGGGTCTAGCCTTGACCCACACACAAGAGTATCCAAAGCGTTAGTGCTAAACAGAATTCATTTTTTTATTATGACATAACACAATATGTTTTAAATACTCAACAGGCGTACAACAAGGGCCCATTGCTAAGAATATTATTTGTTTCAATTTTAAATGACCTCTCTCATGCTCGACATTAACATATTTTATTGTGTATTGTAACTTTGAGACCACCCGATGATATTTCTATTCTAACATCGCATCACTCATACAGGATATGTATTATTGAACTATTTATAAAGACTGTTAAATTATATCTTTATTTGGGTCCCTTTACCGTAAGCAGTCATCACCGAATCAGGGTTGGGAGACCCTGAGCTCAAAGCTTTTCCACGGACTACTCGAAGCGAGGCTGGGAAACGCGATCTGTTTACACCCCTCAAATAAAACAGGTTTGTTTTTTTAAAAATCGCCTTACAAGGCGGAATACATGTGTTTCAAGTTTAAACATCCTTGATAATAAAATATAAAAGTTAAATTAACTTGGCCTCGCAATGCAATATTATGTTTTGTATACAGGGATTCTTAAAATGAATCACCTGTTATGTTAGCAGTGGAATACCTTGACCTCCAAACGTGACCTTTTAGAATTGCGTTAACACACACATACATGATTTCTATAATGTTATATAATAAGTTTATATATATATATATATATTAACCCCAAAAATGCCTACGGAGACCTTTATTTTGGCCCGCCATAGTTTCTTGACTGCCTGTTTGTCCATCCATGAGTCTCTAGAAATTGTAAGGAACCACGATGGATCTTAAAAAAAAACCCCCAAAAAAACCAGACAAATTAAAACAACAAAGTTTTGCTTTTTACATGCCCCCTTTTAGCATCATCGTGTAGCCAAAACTCATGTATCAGAAAACATATTTGGCTTGGAGTTGCTGTGAATTCTAAAAGTGATATAAACCTAACTCTGAAAAATCCAGCCGAACCACGGATTAAAAAAAAAATAAATAAAAAAATCATACATTCGTAAGTCTCATTTTTTTTTTCCGCATTTAATTTTTAGAATACATTTTATTCCGAGTAGAAACATTTCCATGACATGACACTCGGCTACAGCCCCGGCATATAATCGTAACTCTATTCTCTTATCGGTAACGCGTCCAACTTCTGGACTCTGTATGACTATGAGTATGAGATCATCAATACTTTAAGGGGTTTTCAAAAAAAAAAAAAAGAAAAAAGATTTCAAACAAGAAATCCTCTTTGCTATTCCGCAGCTCGCTTACGTGTTTACTCGCCGTGAGCCAGATTTTCCGGATTGCACTTCATCGGGACAAAGGATNACCCCCCCCCCCCCACGAAAAAAAAAAAAAAAGCCCCGCTGCACTGTTACGTATAAGATGACGCGAGATTGTGGAGCCGTCGCGTTGTTTGACGAATCACTCGAGCCTCTCTTTCAGTCACGCGTCACGATCCCATCACTGCGGTCGTGAGATGTGACGTGCGGTGGCTCCGTGATGGACTCATTCAATTATGCATGGGTCCTTCTCAGCCGGAGAACTTGGGTTTCAGGGAATCTCACAAAATGATTTATGGGGGTTTTTTTTTCTTCATTTTTTTTTAAAGAGAACATGTCAACGATTTTGGGCGTGTATAGATTACTAATAATTTTAGTCAAATTACTAAATTACCACCAAAAATAAAAATGAATTCAGGTCTTCTAAATATTTCCTGGACATGGCCATGCTCCCTGGGACGATTGGTCACGTGTATTGGGATGTTGTCAAAAGGCGGATTCTTTTTGTTTTGTCTTGGTAAAAGTGTGTGTGTGGGGGTGGTTGGGGTGGGGGGGGGTATTACACCCCCATTTAGATTGCATCAAAAGAACCTGATAGAAATAATTTGAATCATAGAACAGT